ATTGTCCTTCATGCTACTTCCCCCTAAACACAGGTTTCCCACCGCAGGTTTCCCACCCCAGACCTGCAGCCGCTTTGCCGCTGTGCGCTTTCCGCAGTCACGTGCGAAAACCATGTTGTTAAAACACCTACACTTTCCTGGACTTTTCGCCATGCCGTTCCATCACCATTTTCGACCTGGGAACTGAGTTAACTGAATACAAGTGTCAGAGTGTGTGTCAAACATGATGTTTATAACATATAGTATTACACAATATATATATATATACACAGTATTAGACCATATATATATATATATATCTGTGTGTGTTAAAGCGTGTGTTGTACATGGGTTCATGCAGATTTCATGTTTCTTGGAGGGTTCGCTTCATGCCGCTTCCGTTTCTGAGGCGCTATCGCTTCTGGAGAGGCCAAGCAGGTGAGACCGCTGCGGAGCACGATTGGGGAGGCGCCGCACCGGTCAGCGGGGCGGCTCAGACTTGAGGGAACATTCAAAGAAGGTGAGTAGAACACAGTGGACATGGGAAGAAACACATTTGTTTTGGGATATATAAGTACTTCCCACGTTTTTTTTGGTAAATTGTTTCTATTGTTTCTTTGTTGTTGCCTATTTTCTTTCTGCACTGTTAGCCCTGGGGGTGTTGCCCTGTGATGTTTTTTTTTTTCGATCTTTTGGTGGGTTTCTTGGCAGCAAATACAGCTCATCTAGGGTAGAGGAAGAATGCTGGTTCCTTCGATAAATAAGTGCGTAGATGAACAAGCGAAGATCGAACCCAGCCAGCGCAGAAAAAGAACTGTGGGCTTCTTCGAGCGATAAGGGGTAGATAATATGTGGGTTTCTTCGAGTGATTATGCGGGGTCGATAGAGACCATTGGAGGCTGCAGAAGGACATCTACATGATTGGACCGTGAAAGAAGCCTGGAAGGTAGGAAAACAAAAAAATCACGGTGGGTTCTGGCTGGCCACAGGGTCAAAGTGAAACACGGGACATGGTCAAAACAAGTGTCAGGAGGTGCACGTAGAACATAACCAGAGCGGAAAAGGAAACACACCATTGTGAGTGGCCCGGAGCTTGGTCAGAAGATCGCCAACATCATGCACAATGATACACAGGTGGTGAGAGCTGGAGTCATCCCGAAATCTATACGTAGAAGCATTGTAGTTAGACCCTCCGAGGGGAATGCTATTGGATTCCTTTTAAGTCCTTGTTGGCACTCTGAGCAGCGACGCTGCGGGATATCTGTCTAGTGTCTGCATTTATTCGCCCAAGTGCAATGTTTGAGGTCAAGCATCAAAGACGAAATCCATTTTCCAGTTGTGACCTTCAATTTCTAAACCAACAGCATGAAAGGCAGTGTTTGCGTTGTGGCTCGGAACCGAGGCTCAAAAGAACGGATCGCCCACGTTGCCCCCCGCAGCAGAGAGTCTTCAGGATGGGAAGGCTGCCAAAGTAGTGAGGAATCTGCGATTTTCGGTTGTTTTGTGGCTGATTCTCAGAAACTAGTTTGGAAGTCATATATCATCGAATGTGAAGATTCTCTCTCCAAATCTGCGTTCCCAGATTTTTGGAGCTGCCTCAGCGCTGTGTGGGCAGAACTAGGTGTGATTTATAGCAAATTCAGATTATCATTGTGCGTTGGTCATACGGAACACTCTGCAGGCAGCGGTGCACATTCCACGCGAACCGTTTTTGAAATGGGCTGCAGATCTACAATCAGTGTCCAAAACCAGCACCCATGCTCCAAAAGTAATTTTGCAGCTTCGGGCATCAAGCACCAGGAAACAGAAGCATTCCGTGACTCAGATTCATCATCACAGAAGCAGGAGGCCTCTGACGCTTGCCATGCAAAATAGTTCCCACGGTTAAACGGCGTCTTCCGAGAGATGTGAGAGACTGCCTGAGAGACGGCTGCCCAGCTCCGGGTACTTCTGGTTGTGTGAGAGTTGAAAGGGGTGAAACTTCTGGATGTCCAAGGTACTGAATCATAATGTTTCACCAGAATTGGTTGCATAGTGTATTGGTTTCAATTGTATTGTCTGTGTCATTAGGTACTGGCTAGTGCACTGGTGAAACACATCCGTTTCACCATTTCACAGGCAAACTGCCACTGGCGTCATGACTGGCAAACTGCCACTTGACAGGCTGCTTTCCACCTCGCTTCGCACGGCAGAGCTTTCCTGTCTCCATCCGCTCTCCATTGCTCAGGAGCCGCTTTCGGCTTCGGTGAAGCGGACCTTCTGCAAGTTCTGGCAGGCGCGGGAACCGCGCGACCGCGCGTGGACCACGGAGGTGACAGGCTGGGGGACACGTTCATCTGAGAAGTGGCCATTTTGGTGCTAGGAAGTGGTCTGTTCTGAAGCAGCGGTGGATGGCATTGGTACTTGTGAATCACGGTTCCATACCTTCAACAGCACAATGAAAGAGGGAGTTCGGCATAGTTGGGCTATATTGGCCTGTAGAGTGCTCAATTCACGAGGGCTTCTCTTCACCTGCGCAGTTTAGATCAGTTTGGAGATGTTCTGCCAAAGGCTTGATGGTCGCTTCGGTTCGGCTTGGTTCGACTGGTCCGTGCATCCGAGTCGCATGGCGCCAGGAGAACAAGTGCACCAAGGGTGACTCTTGTACTTTTGCCCATGGTGATCACGAGCCGCTGGGCTACGCAAAGTAAAACGCCGAGACGATATGAGCCTTGAGGTTTCCGAGGCTGGGGAGTTTAAGAATAGACTAGACCGTTAATTTTAGTGATCCAAGATTCTGTGCTTCTTCGACAGTCCGGAAGAAATTAATACAATCAATCAAGGGTTTATTGATACTGTAAAGTAATTGCCACCTTCGCGTTCCGGGCTTTGATACAAGCTTGTTCAATGTGGAGCTCCCACCTTCATGGGGGTGTTGAAGTGGGTGTTGATTTATCTCTTCAACGCTTGGAAGTACCATGAAAGTGCTGAGCTCCCAATACGTTAGCCACCATCCACCGGCAGAGCACCGGCCGAGACCCATGGCCACCGCAGACCCGACCTCCGGGGTGCGGTGCTTTTGGAGGGCTGAGCCCCTTTTTCCTCGAGAATCGAGGGACACCTTTTTAGAAGGATAGATAGAGTTAAGGCAAGATACAAGCCACCATAGCTACAGCAATGAATCTTGGCTAAGTCCTCCCGCGGCAGATCCGGTTTTGGACCCTCGAAAGACTCCAAGATCAGACAAGGCCATCGATGCCCTATGAGTAACAAGGGCATCGCTAGCTAAGAAGCTAAGAAGCTACAAGATCAGTGATTCGTGACTGTTCACTGCTCCAAGACCGAGGATTGGCCAGCCAATTCCTGAGCCCGGCGTCTCGCGGAACGAAGTGAGCATGGTGTCGAGGCGTGGGTGGAAAACAAAGAACTGACGAGGTTGACCAAAGAACTGACAAACCAAACGGACAGAACAGAACAAGGGGAGACCCCACAACTATTGTAAGAATTGGATCGATGTGAGAATTATGGGCTTTGTGGAGTATGAGGGACGAAAGGGCTGAAGTACTGTGAAGTGCTGTGTATGAGTTTCAAGGTGCGGGCAGTTCTAGAACGGAAGATCACCGTGAACGACATGAAAAAACAGACCGGATCTTCTTTCGTGCGACCTCTCGAAGCTACAAACATGTCGATTTCGAGGTTCGAACATCAGTTTCATATCCCTAGACTTTCGTTCGACCATTAAAAACATGGGAACGACCTGATGTTTGTAGTGTAAAATCCTTAACTTAGTTGATTCGATTCAGCCTATTAAATTAATGGTGGGCCAGGAAGCCTAGGGGTATCATTTGGATACATATAACTTTTCCATTTGGATTGAACATGTCCTTGTTGTCGTTTGGGGAGTTTGATTACTCAAGAGCCTACATTAAGATTGATTGGATTAATGAGGTCCTCCAGAAACATTGCAAAAAATGCCAAGAACATACACGATCTGGCAGAACTGCCTGAACAATCCTGAACAAGATCGTTGCATGTTTCGAGCATCAACGCACTGCATGCCTTTGCTGCCTCCGCAAGCGATATATGATGATACGGGATACACCCAACCGACCCAGCCAATGGGTTTTGGTCTATTGTCCTTCCTATTCCAATACACATCCATATACGCCCATATAACATTATATAGTATAACTGTATAACTTTATCCCTCCTACTCAGTCCTACTCAACACTGACACCGAACAACTCCTCAAAACTGAGCAATTCGGGGCCGTTGTAGCGAACCCAAGTAGCTCGTGCCAGGAAAAAGGTCCTTTGCAAGTTCTGGCAAGAAGGGAACTGCTTTAAGAGTCCGGGCTGTACATTTGCCCATGGAGAGCACGAAACTTGGGCTTTTTGAGGAATGGCGGTGGGATCGGTGGGGGAAGATCAGACACTTGAAGTGACCCTCCCTCCAATTCACGCGGATGCTTCTTTGGAACATCGGTGCTTGGTACATGGCAACATTGAGCCTTCACACATTGTCTTCGACCACGTAACCGACTTGTACCTTTCAGGTGGTGTCCGGGGTCGGAGCACTCGACACAAGCCTGGCGATCGCAGCTGCACTTGCGCCATGCACTTGCGCCATGCGCTGCTGCACGCTCAGGAATTGGGCCAGCTGATCGACAACGAGCTGGCACGCCTGTTTGGCTCCCGAAAATCGGATTTGGGCCCCTCGGCGAAGAAACATCGAAGCCGACGCATGGAGTTGTGGTGATTTGGACGTCGTGGATCGATTGTTGGGCACCAACTTCCAGCAACACATGAATGCAGTAATGTTGGGTGACCGCACGTGTGTGGGGCTGGCGCCGCCAGTCTGAAGTTAAGCTTTTTTTTGTTCGGAAAACCTTGCTGCATCCCGCCAAGGTGGTCCTCCGCCAAAGTCCACCGTGTGCAAGTTCTGGCAAGAAGGGAAATGCACCAAAGGCTCGTCTTCTTCCAGTTCGGCACGGCGAAACCATCGTCATTTTTCCAGTTACCAGGTGCAATTTCATGGGCGTCATGTCGAGACATTTGGATGAACACTTCCGACACCACGTGTCATCGTGACACCTCCGCCCCTCTTCCTTCATTTCATCTCCTGTTTCGCTGACCGGCATCCTGAAAGACGACCGCGGCCAGGCAGTGCTTGCAGCTTTCAACACTCGGAGGGCGATCGGAGAGTCGTTCGTGTCGTTTGTGTGATCGGGCTTTCGGATGATGGGTGAGGGGTAGTGATTTGGAACATGTTTCAGTTTCCCATCCCATCCCACCCTGATTGATTCCCTGATACAATGATTTGATAATCTATATATAATATGTTGTTTGACTCCTTTTGAGATGTGAGTCTGCTGTACCAGTTTGGGCCCAACTGGAGCTCAGAACCAGTTTGGACATGTTTGGACCAAATGAGGTCAGCCGGAAAAGTGTGTTTCTGGTACATGTCATGAGTTTTTACATGCTTTACGGCATATATATATATAGCAATATATAGCACTATATATATATACACATTACAATCAACATAATTAACTATATACAATGAATTATCATGATATTATGTGCAATTATTACATATTTATATCATACATCCCAAGACAGTTCTTTGCAAAGAGTGACTTGTCGTGACGGCCTTCGCGACGTGCGACGAAAAACACAACAACTGTCGTGTCGACAGAAGAAGACGGATGCCAAGATGCCAAGATCGACTCAGCCAAGTCTCAGCTCCAAAGCTTGAAAAGGAGCTAAGGTACACTCTCGGCTCCCCGTGGGTTCAAGACCCACCATGGACCCTGAACAACCACATGGTGCAAGCTAGCAGCTAGAGGAATATATCGTTTTTACTTTTTCCCCAGGTCCATTTTCAGGGTTTGTGTTGGTTTTCGAGAGTGGAACTCCCCTTGACTCTTTGGACCCTTTGGATTTGGGTTGATGGACCCAAAAACGGCCTGTTCAGGACATGTCCAAAAGACTTGGGACTTAGGATGATTGTACTTATATAGGTATCTCACGGGGGGGGTTGCATGTAGGGATGTCGCCTAAAGGGTCTAAGATGTAGGATGATGTAGGGATCTCCTTGGCACTTCGAAGTAAAACCATCACCAGTCATGGGCTCCGATGGGTCCGGCGGAGTCCGCCGTGGCAGGCGATGTGAAGAATTGAGGGACATGGAAGGAAGAACGCAGTCTGAGGGTGATCATAGGAGAGTGAAATATGGTTCATTGATGTTCATTGAAACACCTGTTCTGACTTGATTGTTCTGGATGATAGAAGAGGCCCTAGCTGGGGGGGTAAAACCCTTCATCAGGAATTGCACAACTACCTTGGCAAAGGATTGCTTGCTAGGTCTTGATCACCTGCGAGGGGTTTCTCTCCTCAAGTAGGGCCATGGGAGCCGGTTGCTTCAGTTAAGAAATGAAGGACCGGCATCCATGAAATTCAGGTTGTACATAGCATTGCGCTTGCCCAATATTCCGAAGCATGGCATTGCCAGCTGGTAAACCAGCGTGTGTGAACCTGCAGTGATACACCGCTCCGTCTTGAAATGAAGGAAGTCCCAGCCGTTTGGAGCAAGGGCGTTTCACCCTAAGGAAATTTAAAACTGCGCACGAACGCAGAAGAAGCCGGGCACGGCTGGCAGCTGTCGTGCATGGTCACGCGGCACGACAGCCGCCGCGGCTGTCACTGTGAGCAAGGTTCAATTCTTTTGTCACCGGCTGGGGCCTATGTTACTTTGGGGGAGGCATATCGTGCTTTATTGCAAGAAGCAAGATTGTTTTCGGTATGTGGAACAACTATGAACAACTATTTTGGGAGCGATGTGGGGCATCCAACTGAGATCTCACTACGACTTGAGCACTGAAAGTTGGACAATTCACCTGGACCGCTGGCTCTCAGTTGCGCTTTAGCCTGTGCGTGTCGCGAGCTCAATACCTGTGCATGTCGATTCGTCAGCGTTCCGAACTCGAAGGAAATTCGGAAAGGTACTCTGTCAAATATTGGCAATGCTGATGGATTTGTACAGTGCACTTGTCTTTTCCTCGCAAGACTATTTGGAGGGCCTAACCTGGCGTCATAACGGCTCTGGCATTGACAACAGGTTTTGGATCAACTTGATGGTGCAGGGCCACATCCTCCGGCACCCTTTCGCAAGCACAGGCAAGCACCTCAAGTAAGGATTGTGAACACTTTGATCGCAGAAGGTCAAGATTGGCTTGGGTCATGCCCTCCTGACGCCTCAAGTAACCCCTCAGACACAAGCGCCGGAATCATCCGCGGATTTGAAAACTGTTGTGCATCCTCGGTTGGTAGTAGAACTGAAGGGTAGATTGAGCACCTCCATCAGTTACATTTTATGGCAGATCACTTTGGTGACAGCCTACCTTGGCTGCTGCACATGGAGGTGCAGGGGGTTGGTCACAGAGTTTTTTTTCAATAAAAGTGATGGCCTCAGACTCTATCAATTTTATTGACATAATTTTGAGGTTGGCACCACCTCATAATATTGTTTTGGACAAGTTGGACACCCTTTATTGTTTCTCTTCCTAGATGCGTGTGCCAATGTGGGGTAGCTTGGGGTGGAGCAGTGAAGACAACAATAAGTGCATTTTGGCCTCAAGAATTTCAATCTGGTTCTAGGGTTGGCACCTATAATCACATTCATTGTCGCCTTGTTTGTTCTTTTGCTTTTGTGCATCAGTTTGTTTGGACATACTGTAGGTTCTCCTCTAATTTTTTGGCTCGTGCCTTTTTCAGGAGCCAACGTTGGCTACCCCAATAAAATCACTACTTGGGGCTGGCTACCCAAAATATGTTGGGTTCCTATATAACCCTTACTGGGAGCTACAACCTGGGATGTTGTGCATGGATATGATCTATTTTGATAGTACATTGGAAATATATAGGTCCCACGGCCTGAGGACTCCTTGGCACCTGGTTCCTGAAAGAATTTCCACCAAAAGTGAAGGGTCCGAAGGGTATGGGTTAACGACAAGCCAGCCTCAACAGCCTGAAAACGACTTTCCTGGCCCCACGCTTCAGATCTGCAGATCAGGCCTGCGGTGATCCTGCCGTTGGGGAAGGGTGCCGTGCAGGCGGTTCTGGCCGGGTTTCCCAGGTTTTTTTTGTTTGATACTTCGGGCATCCATGGGTATCCATGGATGTTTCCGGATCCACCCACTCCAGACCACCAGGTTTTGTCCCATCGGACCACCTGTGCCGGTTGCCCATCCTTTAGGATTCGGATCCCATGCATTTCAATAGACCGAACCTGTTATTGCCCAATAGGCGCACTGTTATTACTCTGTTTTTACTCAGGAGGTTACACATTGAAAGCACTACAAGGCACAGTTTCACTAAGGACGTTACACATTGAAAGCACTACAAGGCACTGTTTTACCAAGGAGGTTACACATTGAAAGGACTACAAGGCACTGTCTTACTGAGGACGTTACACATTCGTTACACATTGAACGCACTACAAGGCACTGTTTTACTAAGGACGTTGCACATTGAAAGAACTACAAGACATTGTTTTACTAAGGACGTTACACATTCGTTTCACATTGAAAGCACTACAAGGCACTGATTTACTAAGGACGTTACACATTG